GTGAGCTGCCCCGTCTTTCCCCCTCCAGGTTCCTGCCACTCAAAGGCGAACAGGGATTGGCTGATCTCCGCGAGAGGAATGCTGAAGAAAGCATCCTTCAAATCCAGGGTGGTATACCACTCATGGGATGGTGGCAAATGGCTGAGCAGGGTATATGGGTTGGGCACCGTGGGATGAATGTCCTCCACCCTTTCATTGACCCTTCGCAAGTCCTGTACTGGTCTATAGTCCTCACTGCCAGGCTTTCTCACAGGAAGCAGGGGCGTGTTCCAGGCTGATTGACAGGGTTTAAGGATTCCTTCTTCTAGCAATCTGTGAATGTGGGGTGCTATTCCCCTCCTAGCTTCTTCTGGCATTGGGTACTGTCTGACTTGGACAGGCAGGGCTGTGGCTTTAAGTTGAACTACCACCGGGGGCAAGTGTTTAGCGAGCCCGACTCCCCCGGTCTCAGCCCAGACGGAAGGAAACTCCTGCAGCCAAGGACCCATGTCTCCCTGGTCTCTTTTTTCCAGGGTTACTGGGAACAGACGATATTCGTCTTCCAAGGACAGTGACAATACTTGAGCCGGTTGCAGAGGTTGCCCCTCCGAGTCCATTATTCTTATTCCTTTTGGCTCAAAGTGGATACGGGCCCCAATCTTGGTGAGCAAATCTCTTCCTAGTAGTGGCGCTGGGCTCTCCGGCACGACCAGGAAGGAGTGGGACACCTGATGCCTTCCCAAGTCCACCTTCCTATTGGTGGTCCAGGCACACCTCTTAGCTCCTGTAGCCCCTTGAACTATGCTTGTGAGTCCCAGTTTTAGAGGGCCACGGGCTTGAGTGAGAACTGAGTATTGTGCCCCTGTGTCTACCATGAAGCCGGTGGGAGTCCCCTCCACGTATAGGGTTACCCAGGACTCGGGGAGAGGTACCGAGCCCCGTCCCCGTCAGTCTTGTCCCAAGTGTAGGGTCCGGATCGGCCCCCCCTTTCCTGTCTTTCTCCTCTTTGTGGACATTCTCTTTTCCAGTGCCCATATCTTTTGCACAGGGCACATTGCTCCCGCCCCAGTTTGGTTTCTGTGGGGCTCTGGCCTCCGGCGTGTCTCAGGACTCCCTTTCACTCCTGCCAAAAAGATTCTGGCTATCTCTTCCCTCTGCTTCCTGTTCTCCTTTCTTTGGAATTCTCTGTCTTCCTTCCTATTCCTACTTCTCACCTCCTGTTCTTCCTTCCTCAATCTCTCTTCTCTGTCTTCTGGAGATTCTCTAGTGTTGAATACCTTCTCTGCCTGCTGTAGTAGTTCCCTAATTGAGATCTCCCCCAGGTCATCCCGTTTGTAGAGCTTTCTCCTGATATCGGGAGCTGCTTGGTTAATAAAGGAGAAAACCACAGCTGACCTGTGTTCCTCTGCTTCTGGGTTTATAGGGGTATACTGCCTGTAAGCATCAAACAACCTTTCCAGATACACGGCCGGGCTTTCGGCTTCTCCCTGAACAATTGTCTTTACCTTTGCTAGGTTAGTAGGCCATCTTGCGGCTGCTTGGAGACCGATCATTAGGGTCTGGCGGTAGACTCGGAGACGCTCCCTACCTTCTGCCGTCCCCAAATCCCAGTTTGGACGTGTGATGGTGAACGCTTCATCAATGGCGGGTTGGAGGGTGGTGGGTCTTCCATTTTCTCCGAGAACATTCTTCCTGGCTTCATTAAGGATCCGCTCCCGCTCCTCAGTGGTAAAGAGGGTGTGGAGTAGCTGCTGGCAGTCATCCCATGTAGGACAGTGAGTGAACATGATAGATTCCACCAGACCTATAAGGCACTTAGGGTCCTCAGAAAAAGGGAGATCACTGGAAGAAAATGGCCAGTATTGATACTGCTGGCCATCCGGGCTGTCGACTGCCCATACGGATAGGATGGGCACGGCTCCTCCAGTGGAGGAGGAGGCTTCTCCTATCCAGTCCCTGTTCCCCCTCCCTCTCCAGGCTGTCTCTCCTCTCCGGTGGAGGAATCTGGGGAGACAGCCGCCGCCATTTCCCAATGCTGAGCCTCTTCCATGTTTCCCCCTTGGGAAGGACCCCCAGCTCCTCCCCTCCGGGAAGCTGCATAGGGCGGTGGCTGATCAACCAGCAATGGGGGTAGAGGGGGGGAGCTCTCAGGTAGGACTGGTGGGGCAGTAGGTTCTCCTTCTCTGCGGCTGGGGGACTTTGGCCCTTCCTGGGCAACCAGGATGGTGGCTTTTGGAGGGCCCCCATGGGGTCCTCACTCCAGGAGAGGCCCCAACCATGATGGGGGGTCCTCAACCAAATTTTCCCATAAAAGGATATAGGGGAGCTGGTCTGGGTGTCCTTCGGGGTCGGGTTGGGTGATGACTGCCTTAACCTTGCCTATGGTATCCAGAGAAAGAGACCCCTGGTTGGGCCAACCTACCCCGAAAGCCGGCCACCCGGTGGAACAGAGGGCCTCAAACTTACCCTTCTTGATGCTAGGGCCCAGTTTCAAGGCCCTCTTCTTTACTTCTGAAAAGTGAGAAAGAATTGTGCCTTTGGGGGTGGCCTGAGTTTGGCCCAT